ACATCAAGCATCGTTTCTTTGCAACTTCATTTTGCATTTGCATTTTTATCATGTCCGAGGGAACGTAAAGAGCGTCGTGCTCATTCAGTGTCAGCTCAAAATTAAAGCAGGCAGCAGAGAAAATTTGCTCAGACTGGCTGCCCTTCCAATGGATATCCAGCACCAACCCACATTTGGTCAAGAGGCTTTTGTGTATCTGAGTTCTTAGACTTCTTCCAAGTAATGGTACAGTGGCCGAACGTTCCAGAGAAAGAGAGCAAAGGACATGAATGAAAGAAAATGAATTTATACGAAAAGAGGCCGAGTATAAAAGAATATTTTGACATAAAATTATTGAGTTGACTTCAATTTCGTGTGAAAGTCTGTCGAATGATGTAATTCTTGGGTCGATCTCAACAAAAGACGACGCCTTACTCGCGTGGTTGTGCTGACTTTTGAGTGTACAGCCACGTTCAGGTCAACGCAAGCGACGAGGCATGCTGCCTGGTTTTGGATGAAGAGGAGCCGAGCTTTTGGCAGAGCCGGAAGTGGTGCTTGCCAAAGCGTCGAGTCGACACTGAACTTTCCGGTCGTCAAGGCCCGTGGAGATGTCGTCAAGTGACTTGCCTGATCGACAAACCCACAAGAAGCATGTGCCTTGGAGGAGGTCTTTCTGACTTGCCGTGAATGACTCGTCTGTCCGTCGGCTCGGCTCAACCCGGCCTCACGAAGCAGATTGTGGAAGGTGGGCGCAATTGTTGGCACGGCGGTCGTTTGCGGTTGAGACGACGTTTGTCCGATGGCGTGGCGGACAAACGCTGACCTCGTGTTGAGCCGAGTCGAGCCGAAGGAGAGTGTCTCGTGGACAGCGTCAACCAGAGCTTGGCGGTACCATCAAATGAGTGCAGGTGAACGTGAGTCGGTCGTTGTCTTCTGGTCAGGCCGGCACGGGAATCTCTTCAACCGGGACCGATTGACTCGAGGAGAACAGAGCCAACCGCAAAAGGGTCTTGCAGAAGGTAGCCTGATCGAGATCCGCCTCTTCGTCGTGGATTCACTCTGTCCTGACAAGACGTCCTGCAACCGCTTGCCTCGAAAAACGAGTCTACAAATCGGGCCAATAGATTGACCAGAGAGAGCCAGTTCTTCTTCGATATCCACTTTTGCTTCAGACCAGACGAGAGCAGGTCCACGCGATGTCTGCACACCAAAAACAGACAGACATCATGAACCGTCGTGACATGTGATTACAGACCGTGTATGAGATGGAATACATGCTCCCTTCGAAACTCCGCCCAACACGCATGCAAGCGAGACCAACAGCAACCGGCCAACACAATCACGACCACAGATTGTGCTCTTTAAGGTTGACAGGAGGACAGCCGGCGTCCGGTCTTGGCGGTTTCGACCATACACTTCTCTGCCTTGGAGTCGCAGACTCGAAGGAGCGCAGCGCTGAAATTGGTAGTTCCAACAAGCCGACAACCTTGGCTCGGAGCCAAGTGAGACAGACTCAACGAAACGCTTCATTTGACGTTTCTATACCTCCGGACAGTTCCAGTTGCAGCCAAGCATTTGAGGCGACCGGTGGAGAGTTTGCCAAGTTGACGCGACTGATTGTTCAGCTCACTTCTGCTGCGAGTGAAAGTGAGCCAAATAAAGAAATGTGGAGGTGAATGACGTGGGCAGACGACGGCGCACTCCTCTCTGCCAGTTGCCGGTTGGATTCTCGCCAAAATTCTTGTTGACGCTGTCTCCGAGACGATCTGGCGCGATTCTTTCGTCCGGTCGAGATTACGCAATCGGAGTAATTGGTACAATAAAAAGGGTGCTGATGCTCATTAGACGCTTATGAAAGGAAGACGTCTGCTTCAATTGAGTTGACCTACCATTACTGGTTTCGTGCATGTACGCGCACATGCAGGCGTATAAGCGGTGACGGATGAGCCAGTCCGTTTGCTGGACTCGTCGGCTTGATTGTTGTGCTTACTTGCATTTCGAGTGAAAGTGTTGCGGGAAGAGATTCGAAGGTCGGTTACATCAAAAGACGACAGCTCCATACCGACATTGCTTCCGTAGTGATCGCCCTTGATTCCGGTTAAAAGGCGCCAAGCTTTCGTCCGTCATTTGACGAACATCAGCAGAGCAAGGTATCATCGTCACAACCAAATTCAAACTAA